GGGCTGGGCACCCTGCATGAAGGGCTTGGCCGTCCTGGTCCCGGCCCCGGGGCTGGGCACCCTGCATGAAGGGCTTGACGTGCTCATTTTGCAGAACCTGGGTGGAGAGTCTGTCCCAGTATGCCATGAATAACTGGCTACGCTCCGCGGAGATCGGACAGGAGATCCAGGAGGCGTGGATCGTACAGAACGCCGTGGTCTACGTCCTGAACCACAACCACCACCTAATCCTGGCCGGGCGGCAGAAGGAGCTGGTGGACGCCCTGTACCACCTCCTGAGCATCGTCAAGGCCACGGGCCACAGTGGGTGTGTGTGGGCAGTGCTGCAGTCACGCAAGGAGGGGCTTCTTCCCTCGGGAGACCCCGGAACAAAGGCAGGCAGCTGTGCTCCGTGGCCCTCTGCGTCCCAGCAGAGGAGGGTCGTGGGCACCCGTGCATCTCAGGCCTCCTACCACGGCCTGAGTACTCTGTGCATGGGATCGGGGTGTGGCCTGCGGGGGCCAAGATTCCCTCTGACAAGCGTGTCTCCCAGGGACCCCGTGATGCTGGTGACGCTCTGCAACACCTTGGCGCGAGGCCTGATCATCAGCTGGATTCCAGTCCAGGCTGCTGAGAAGTCCAGGAAATTCATGCGACCAAACACGTTTCACAGCCCACTGGACGCAGGAGCCACCTCCGAGATCAAAACAGCGGTGGAGGTAGCACCTCCATGGTGCCGAGAGAGAGACAGGGTTGGGGGGAAAGAAAGCTGAACAGAGAGAGGAGAGGAGAGAGAAGAGAGGAGAAGTGAGAGGAGAGAGAGGAAAGGAGAGAGGAGAAAAGAGAGAGAGGAAAGGATAAGAGAGAGAGAGGAGAGACAGGAGAAAGGAGAGAGAGAGGAAAGGAGAGAGAAGAGACAGAGAAAAGAGAGAGAGAGGAAAAGACAGAGGAGAAAGGAGAGAGAAGAAGAGAGAGGAGAAGAGACAGAGAAAGAGGTGGGTGGGGGGGGAGAGAGAGGTGTGTGTGTGAGGGGGCGGGAGTGGAGGGAGAGAGCGGGGAGGCAGCCGACCCCACCAAGACAGAGCCCTGCAGACCTGAGGCTGTAGGCTGGGGCTGAGCTTCTGAAGGCTCCTGGAAAGGCCCTGGGAGAGCAAACTGCCCTCAGTGGAGGTGACAGACATAAGAACAATTTAGGAAGTAAAACGTCAGGGGCTCCAGTTGCTAGGAAGTAAAGCCAGGGCTGGAGAGAGGAAAGCAAGACCTGTGGGTGGGTGTGGGCCTCCCCTCGGGGTGGGCTCCAGGCTGAGGGGAGTGGAAATAGAACCAGAAATGGCGGATTGGAACAGCGGGAAACAGGGACCGTGTCACTCACAAATGCAGCCGTCCCAGTAAAACGCAGCAGACCCAGTGTGTGGGACGATCCTGGTGGCCCAGGCGGATCATTTATCCCACGGAATTTGGATTTTGTTGTAATCCAAAAGGAAGGGAAAAGGGAGTGTTCACGTTGACGGATGTTGCCGAAGTGTGTGTCAAGCCACTGCCCGTTTCTAACTCAGAACAGCCTCAGAGAACCCGGGAGAAAGCCGGTTTCCTAAAGGGTCAGGGGAGTCGGAACCTCCTGGAGCCTGTGTGTGGAGCGCCCGCGGTGGGGCCGGGGCAGGGAGGCCTTGAGTGTCCCCGCAGGGGCACAGGGAGGGAGCTGTCCCCACCCTTGAAGGAAGACTTTGTGCTAAAGCTCATCCCGCATGACCCTTTCTGGGCCATGGATAAAACCGTGGGCTGGAGAGTCTCGAGCCTGCGGCACGGCACTCACGGCGCTCACGGTCAGCACTGACGATCAGCTGTGCTAGGCCACAGCCAGAGAGGGCCCTGGTGCTACCAGCTCCCAGTGGGGATGGCTGGCCCTGGGCAGTCAGTGTGATCCAGCCAGGACGGCCAGGAGCACCGGCTGTGGCATCAGGTGCAGGTCGTTCTTCTGAGAGGGGACCAGGGGCCGGCTCCGGGGACCTGCAGGGATCAGGCTAGAGGCTGCGGAGGGGAGGGCGCCGTGGGCAGCTCGGGCAGCTGTGAGTGCAGCTGAGCCTGGTGTGGGCCCCGGGAGGCAGCTGGGGGTGCAGAGGAGCTTCCCTCTTGGATGTGATGACGGCTGGATCCAGATGCCGAGAGGAAGCGCCGGCACTGACCTGGCAATCCGGGAGCACGGAGTGAATGGCAGAGTGGGAGGAAGCCGGCTTGGGCAGTGCCTGGACTGGGAGCCAGGTGGTGAAGAGGGGAGTCAGTGCTCCCCAAACACATTCCGATGGAAGGTCTGTGTGGAACTTGACCAGCGTTTGAAAGTTTATCCAGAAGCAAGGATGGAGGGGGAGGAAGGGGAAGGACGCTGCCCAGTAGGTGTCTGTGCTACTGAGACGTTTTACAAGGAGCAGGTGTTCCCAAGACAGCTCAGGAGTGAGAGGGCCGGGGTGCACCGGAGACCAGGTGGCAGCTGCCTCCCCGTGTGTGCGGCTGCGTCCTCGTCCTCGGCGCCTGGGGGTGGGGCTTCGTCTGCTGGGTTTTTGGTGCAGCCCTGGGGGGCCTGAGGTCTCATGTGTTTCACAGGCTGGAACAGGAGCTGGGTCCATCCATCTTTTAATGGTTTGGATCTTGGCTCAAGGTCCCCTGTTTAGAATTCAGGTTTCATGAGCAAGAACACATCCATCCTAGGTCTGCGAGTTTGCCCTGAACCTGACCAATGGGAGTGCGCCCGAGGAGACGGTGCCCACCAGCACCCGGCAGCAGCTCATCGCCACCTGGGTCAAGGCCAAGCAGCTGCTACAGCAGCAGATTGGGCCGCGGCTGGGCACCGAGGAGCAGGTGGGCGCCCCTGCCCGCATCTGGCCTCCGATCGAGGCCCTGTGGACATAGAGGTCCAAGACAGCGGGGGGTGGTGGGGCCCCCAGGCCTGGGCACTCCCTTTTCCCATTGAACTCACTGCCGCTGACTGACCTTGAGTGCGGCACGGGGCCTCCTCTGCCCACCCGTCCACGGGGTCTGTGAGCTGCTGGGCCTGGGGGATGCTGCCCTCTCCCGAGGAGGAGCGGGCCCAGGGCCGGCCCCATGAGCTCCTGGAAGGCCTGATGGAGGAGGGGCCTTGGAACCTGGCCAGGAGCCAGGGCTGAGTGGGGCCCAGGGAGGTGGGGAGGGTCCAGGCATCAACCTGCCTGGCCAGGCAGCCACCGTGTCAGGCCCACTGGTCCTTCCCTCCTCGGGGATCCCCCAGCCAGCAGACAAGACTGCCTCACACATGGGGCGCACAGTCCTGGGGCTCCTCGTTGTATGAGAAGATGACCTGCAGATTCACAGTTAGAAACACAGCCTAAGGTCTAAACGCTCCCAATTTCGTGGTCTGATTGTTGCCATAAAACTAATACCTCGCAGTGTTCGATTCACACATGTTCCAGACTCCCCCGCACTCTCGGGCTGAAGCACTCAGGGCATCCTTCCCACCAGGGCACCAACAAGGATGTCAGCTCGGTGACCAGAGTCCTCGTTGCCTTGGAAATGTACTCATGCAACGGGCTGGGCCTCATGGACTTCACTGTCCCCTCCCTGGCCCAGGTAGGTGTCCCCAGGGGTCTCCGGAGGCCGGGGGCCCAGAGGCGAGGACGCCGAGGGTCCGAGGTGTTGCCCAAGGTGGCTGGAACTCAAGCCTCGTTGTGCATGCTGACCCCCACTCTGCCCCGCTCTCCTCCACCTCCCAACAGAGCTGCGCCCCTCTGCGCACTTCCTTCAGCTTTATGCTCAGAGTCCCCATCTCCTGGTGTGAGGCAAACGCTGTCTGAGCGGACCCTCCATGTCCCGCCCCACCCTGCGCCGCTCAGGGGCAGCCGGGGACTGCACACGCCAGTCCCGTGTCCAGGACACCCTGTGGGGTGTGGGAGCTGCAAAAACATCAGGGGCCCTCACAGGCATGGATGTGGTAGCTCAACTTTTGTGGTCTGTGGCGCAGTGGCCCTTCACAGGCCACGCCTCTGTAGAATCACACGTGCTGCGTGGTCCGTGGGGCTGCAGCCGCTGGAAGGTCGTTGTTGCTAACACGGTGCCCCTTCTCTTGCCACCCACTGGAAGTTGGTGAAAATGGCTTCTGAGTGCAACTGGTCGGACCCCCTGGTGGAGCTGCAGACCCTGACGCGGCTGACCCACTTCGCCTATGCGGCACGTGACCATGAGACCACCATGGCCTGTGCTCACAGGGCTGTGGAAATGGGCATCAAGTACCTGAAGATATTTGGGCCGTAAGTAAGCTCTCATGACTGGACCAATTCCCCCAGAATGGGCAGGGAGCGCGGGCCTGGGCTGCAATCACAGATCAGGGTGCATGTGAGCGCCCCACCAGGTCCCCAGGCCCGGTCCAGAAAGCTTCCTGTGGGCCTCAGCCACGGGCACAGGCGGCCTCCTCCTGCCAGCCCTGGGCCCTCATGGACACGGCAGCAGTGGCCCGTGGAAAGCTGGTCGGGAAGGATTCTCAAGTCACGTGGGCCTCCCAGGAGGGGTGTGTGGCCTGCTGGCTGCGTGTGCATCGTTGGCACAGAAAGGGGGGCCTCAGCCTTCAGAGGCTGGGACGAAGGGCCACAGATGGGGGGCTCCCACCCCAGATGGTTCCTGCTCACAGTTCCGGAGGCTGGAGGTCCCATCGAGGTGCGGCAGAGTCGGCATCTGCCGGGGGCCCCTTCCCGGCTCCCAGACGGTGCCTCCTCCTGTGTCCTCGCATGTGGGAAGGGGCAGGGGCTCTCTGGGGTCCCTTTCATAAGGGACTAACCCTGTTGGTGAGGGCTCCATCCCCATGATCCAACCCCCCTCAAAGGCCCACGCCTATGGCAGATAGAAGGGAATTCTGAGGGACACGGACATTCAGCAGGTAGAAACCTGCCATTTCTAATGACATACAGCTTTGAAATAATTTTGAATAGACAGATATGCACGCTAATTAAATTCGAAAATAAGGGTAATTTCAATGAAAGAAAATGGCCTGTGCATATATAAATTCTCAGACGTTATCTGAATAAATTTTCCACTCTTGGAAAGGTAGATTTAGCCTCAAGTTGTTTTAGTCTCCAGGAGGCTGCCAGCCCCTCCTCTTATTTAATTCTGAGTTTTGGGGGCCAGCCTAGGGGGAATTATTATTATTATTATTATTTTTTACCCCCCAGGGGGGTAGTTGGGAGTGAGACTATAGGCCATAAAGAATAGGACTGCGTTGGACCAAAATAAATGGGAAAATCGTGGTTTGAAAAGAAGCTTTTGGGAAGTGATGAGTCATTTTGCACCAGGTAATAGGGGAAAATCGTGCGACCTCCAGCAAACACATGAATGGTTGTTTCCTGGAGCCAGAAGCCCTTCGGGGTCGTGGTAATTCCCAGTGTTTTCTGTGTCCTAGTTTTACCCTTTGTAAACACTGCCCTTTTTGAAAGTTTGAATATATCCACATTCTGTTGAAACCTTGAAACTAAAAATTTAGACTCGTCGCCATCTTAAGTTCTTCGTGCTACTCTTAACCTCCCAAAAAGCAGTCTCGAAGTGACGTAGATGATGTCTTGGGCGTTTTCTCTCTCAGCCGTGGAGAGCTGTGGAAGGAAGAATCGCTGCTTTTCTCAGGCAAATCGGTGTCTTGGTGTCTTTTGGTTCTCACTCCTCGCCTGCTCCTGATGCTCTGACCCCTTTGATAGATCACAGTGCTCCAAAATAATGGGTGGTCTTGGGTGGTGGATACATGGGGACAGGGACAGTTAAATTGGGAGCCTTTTTTACAACCTTGATGAGTTTTTTTCCCCCAAGTTTCCTCTCCACTGAAATGCCACACCAATGCTTGTCGGATTCCTGAGGCGGCCAGACCAATGTGTTGTTTCTCTTTATTATATTTTTTTAAAGCTTCCCTAGAGAGAATAGATGGTAATGGAGAGAATCATTTAACAAGGTCCTGGTTTCTCTTGCAACACAGTAGCTACACTTGCCTGCTTTTATGTGCAGTTTTGTAGGGATCAGCTTGGTAGACAGTACTAGCAGGGAAGCCACCCGTTGATCTTGGTTTGCAAGCCCGTCTCCCGTCAGTCCTAGATTAGGCCCTGTTCAGCCACGCAGGGGCGTGGGTCGATGCGTGCTGCAGCAGTGGGCATAGTGAATATAATCTACCCCGTTGGCAAAGGTGTGTACCAAGTGAGTTTAAATAATTGGTGTGGATTGGCCAGTAGCTAAGAAGTGGGCTTTTAAAGAGT